ATGATCGAAATGCTGCCAGCCTGGAAACTCCTGTCTGCTACAGGTGTCAGTTGAAATTCCAGTTCTCCGTTGGCAGTTAGGGCTTTCCAGGATATTTTCCAGCAACTACGGCAACAACTTAAATAGTACCTATCATTTAGTGTCTTGGAAGGCTCTACGCCACCACAGGAGCTGCCTCTTCATTTTGCATGGAACACAGATCCTTTGCTCTGCCTGAGCTTTCTGGAAATGATGGGACAAAAAATCCCAACGCAAACGCGAAGCAGCGCTGTGGGGCCAGCTGCCTGGGGCCAGGGACTGCTCAGGGCAGGGCTGTCCCCAAACCTTGTCCCTCTCTGCAAGACCTCCAGCATGGGCACCCACAGCCCACCCCATACATGCCACCTCTTGCCTGTGGCATTTTCCTCACCTGTGCTGAGATCTACTAAAGAATTTGGGAAATATGTTATTGTTGTTGTTGTTTTTAAGTGTGGAAGAATAAAGTGAGTTTTGGCTGGTGATTATGGATGGTTTGGGTAAGAGTTGGCAGGAGTTTCCAACCCAGTCAGGTGCGAGGAGAAGGGAGGCCTCTGGAAGCTGTTCAGCAGCATGCCAGGGCATAGCAAGACGTTATTTACAGTGTGTGTTTTGAACGTGACTTGAAATTCATAAACAATAATACTGACAGCTTGGCTGTGCTTCTTCACAGCATTCCATCCAAACCAGGAAATTTTTACAACTTGTACTGTCATCAGAGCTGGTTGAGACCCTTTGATTTGGCAAAGCCATCGCTCTTGACAAAGTGGTTGTAGAATCACAGAATGGTTTGGGTCGGAAGGGACCTTCAAAGACCTTCTAGTCCAACCCCCCTGGCATGGGCAGGGACATCTTGCAGTGATCAGGTTACTCAAAGCCTCATCCAACCTGCCTTTGAACACTGCCAATGATGGGACATCCACAGCTTCTCTGGGCAACCTGTGTCTTGTTTTATCTTCTGTCAGGAGTTTCTCAGGTCAGCACTGGAAGAAACGCCCAAAGCAAAGCCCCCAGCATGCAGAAGCAGAAGGACATCTCTCTTGATTTGGGTTAGAGACCCAAATCCATGAGCCCTAGCCCCCAGGCAAAGTGCCTGGTGACCGAGCCTCTCTCTGTTCTGGGACAGTCTCTGTTTGGCTCTGGGTTTCTGTCAGGCTCTCTCTTTGCTTTCTTTAATTATGTTTCTCTATTAATATTTTCCAGGGGTTATGCTTTTGTTCCACATCAAAACAACACAGATCCCGCAGCATTCCTCAAAGGACGCAACTCCCATTTGCTGGCTGGTCCAAGTTATCATGGAAATTATTAGTTTCCTTAGGCATTTATTGTACTCATCCAGAAATACAAGCTTGCCCTGTTTCGATCTGAAACACCACGCACAGAAAGGAGAAAATTCCATGTAGTACCACAAACATCATGCTTGGAAGACGGTGGTATGTTAATTAATAAAGTCTGGGAGCCACTGGTTTAACATATTAAAGAATTTGCTATGCAGAGAGAGATGGAAAGATATATTTCCTTATTAGATTTTTGAATGTCTGATACTTTTATTGTAATTATGTTCTATTTCATGTCTTTCTTACAAAAACTCTAATAGTGTTTCTAGCAGTATAATTGCATTACATAATTATTTCAGCAAAGGGAAGGCGAAATAAGGAGATACAGGCCAGATGAACATATACAGAACTTGAAATGGGAGGGACAGCTGTGGGGGTAGGCTCTGCAAGAGAGATCCCTTTATAACCAAGGACCTGCGGAGAGTGGGATCTGCTTAGGAACAAAGGAGGGTACGAGACAGTGGGTCAGAAGAGCCAGGAGAAAAGAATCGTGTTTTTCCCAAAGGGCTTTGAACATGAAGGCTGGTGGGTGTGTGAATCAGAGAGATGCGGCAGTGGCCTTATGGCTGCATGTCCCCACTAATGAGAGGAGAGAAGCTGCCTTTTATACAGGCTGCAGTGAGAATAGTGGAGGTAACCTGGCTCGGGCTGATACAGCCCTTTCAGTACAGTGGGTTGAAGACCATTCTTGAAGTGTCTCCAGAGGATGCATACAGAAATGTCATCTTGGATCAACAAGCATCTGAGCTGCTGCCAGCCCAGACTGGTGCTGCTCCAGGACTGGTGAGACCAGAGCCACCTCTTCTCCCAGAGGGGAGATGGCATTTCATGGATCTCAGCACATTAGGAGGCATTTCCCCGTTGTGATATGGCCACTGATAGCCCTAACCGGCAGGGCTGGTTGAATCACCCCTTGGGCAGAAGCCAACCTGTGGGTTGTAAGTTGGACCACAGAGCTGCAGAGAGGGAGAAGTTGTTAGTCTAGGGAAGGGAGATAAAGGGAAGGTGGGGATTGCAGTGCCTTTGGCAAATAGTGCCTTAACTGATGTAGGACAGCCCTCTCCTATGGCTGTGCCCCGGGCCAGGCTGACAGCGCTTCAAACAAGTCGTAGAAAAAACTGGGGTTCCCAGAGCTGCATGGAGTACTTAAGCACTCACCTTCATGAAAACTGACTTCTGGACATCTGCTGGGTCCACTGGCGTTCTCCACAGTATTAACCATATGTGATTTCACATGAGAGGTACCTGTGGAAACCTGAGCATGAGCTTAAATTCCTGCATTAGAATACTGCCCAGCTGTTTTCTTCTGCACTGTCCCAGTGACTGGAGTAGAAAGATGTTTGTTTTCAGAGTTTTCTTCACCTCAGAAAACTTTCAGGGGTCAAAAAAGGGTAGAGCTTTGCAATTCTTCATTACAGTCTATATTAGGACAGTAACCACACCGGGACAGAGAGGTGGGTGTTTGACAAGAGTTTCAAGAGACGAAACTCTCCATGACTGCACATAGACTCAGGGATTCACCCCCAAAACTCCCATAATTATTTTTCAGCTGATTTGGGGACTTCCTGAAGTAATTTTGTGGCTTTCCTCAAGGTTTCCTGCAAAAGGCTAAGGAAAACAGCCTTATTCTTACCCACACTAAAGTCTTTTCACTGTCCTGCCTACAGAAAAGTTAGTTACCATGTCCTTTATAACCCACTTAGCTTCTCTACACCCATTTTGGCTACTGTAAAGAGAATACAGCCCAGAGTAATTATTCTTCATTCTGATTCATACACACATACAAGATGTTTGGGATAAGAATAGAAATTCTTTACAGATTCCTTCTGGATACATCAGGAAGAATCAGGGGCCAGATTCTGCCCTTAGTCCTTGCAGATGGATACTAACGTAGCTCCCTAAAATCAGTAAAATTACTCTGCACTTACACAGTGTCGGATTAGAAACTGCAAAATCAAAACCAAACCCCATGAAGTCTAGTTTGGCAGTGCTCACAGCAAGCCATAAACCCCTCTATAGTTACTTAGAAGTGGTTCTCTGTCCCAGAAAAAGAAAAGCAGTGTTAAATCTGATGTTACAGCCCTGCAAGGCTTAGATGCCAGTGCTTCCATCTCATTGAGAAGACAGGAAACTCTTTCTAGTGGCACCGTGCTATTATTTACTGAGTCCTAAGATGCTGCTCCTTAAAATCCTTGCTAGTTTGAGATTATTTACTGAGTCCTAACTGCTGTGGGTCTGCAATAAGATATACTAAGGAAGAACTTCATCCTTGGAGAAAGAAAGAGAAGACATTTCCCAAACCTAGCATCTGTTGGCATCTATGGAGCCGTTTGATGCATTAGAGGTGGCCCCTTGGGAGAAGGAGTAACAGCGTGCTTCTATTTTTGCATTAAATCAGGCTCGGCAGAGGGCGTGATGATGCATGAATATCAGCGTGTATCTGCTTTCTCACTGTGATTTCCTCAGGGTTCGGGGGGAAGCAAAGGATGGTGGTAACAGGAGGGATGCAGACAGCCCTCCGCATTACCTATTAGGGCAGTGGTGGGGTCTTGCTTCACACAGTTCCTAAAAACGGGTGGCTGCCAGCCAGTAATGTAACTGCTGCTCTTTGCAGGGAGACAACTCCGTTTCCGCTAGCTGCTTGGCTCAGTTTGGCATTTTTTATTATAGCCCAACAGAGCATGACAATGCAGCTGATTCACTGCAGCACGGCTAGGGTACAGATCACAATCACACTGTCTCCGGGGACGCAGTGGGAGTACGAGAGTGCGAACTCCGGCTCTACTCCCAGCCTGACTTTTGGGACTTGAAAGAGAGGAATGTGCTACATTTTAAATATTCATGCATACACCCTTAGCTCCAATGCTTACGCTTTCAGGTATTTTAGGTCGGAGCTAGTCTTCTAACCAGCCTGAAGCTATGCTGCACCGTGCTTTAATCCTGACAATTTTTTCAACTGAATGTGCTTGAATCTAGTAATTTTCCCAATGGCTCACCTCCAAGAAAAATGGTGTCGATCATTTGGTAGGTTTCAGGGTTGTGTGTGAGTCAGCTCTGAGTCAGGCAGCAGCTCGAGCTTGGCAGAGTGCTTGTCCCCCTGTGCTGGCATGACCTGTGGGGCCGTGGCCCTGTGACAGGTGCTGCTCCCAAGCACCCCCAAGCAGCACTGTGTGGGAACCCCAGTGCTGGGCACTGGCAAAGCAAAGGGGCAAGTCCATAGCCCCATGCTTTTGGCTGTTCACGTGCTGCAAAGCTGTCTTGGCCTCGGAAGATGGTGGGGTGTGTAGATGATGCTGGGTCCAGGAAGGGAAAGGAGATGGGGGGGACCCGTCTCACCCCCTGCAGAGGAGCCGGTCCAACTGAGGTGCAGGCATGGCAAGTCACTGCCGCACAGCTTCCCTCCCCAGAGCCAGGAAGAAGCAAGGAAGGAGTTTTTTCCAGATACCTCAGTCCCTTGCACGGTGTTTCTGTTTATATTCACATTTACATTAAGTAGGGTGGTGTCCCAGTCCCCAGGCAGTCAAGAGCAAAGCCAGGCACAGCCTTGAAGGCAACAATCACCCTGTGTGTTGTGCAAAGTGGCGTGACTGACAGGTTCTTCGCTCTCTCTCTGTCTTTCTCTCCCCCTCCCTGGTGCTGTGATTGAAGCAACGCCCCGTGAAGCAGTCCCTGAGCGCCTGCATGTGCCGAGAGTCCCACTGGAAATGCCTCCTCCTCTCCATCCTCATGTATGGCTGCCTGGGTGCGGTGGCCTGGTGTCAGCTGGCCCGGGTCACCAAGCTCAGCTTCGATAGCTCCTTCAAGGGCAAGTCCATGATCTACCATGACAGCCCGTGCTCAGACGGCTACGTCTATATCCCGCTGGCCTTCCTCTCCATGCTGTACGTGGTGTACCTGGTGGAGTGCTGGCACTGCCACGTCAAGAGAGAGCTGCAGTACAAGGCAGACGTGGACAGTGTCTATGAATGCATCAACCGCATGCAGCAAGCCACTCCGTGCATCTGGTGGAAGGCCATCAGCTACCACTTTGTGCGGCGAACTCCCGGTACCGCAACGGCGATGCCTACACCACCACACAAGTCTATCACGAGAGGGTCAACACACACGTGGCTGAAGCCGAGTTTGACTACTCTCACTGTGGGTACAAAGACATCTCCAAGGAACTCCTGGGCCTGGAGAGCTACACAGCCACCAAGCTGAGGTTCACCAAGTGCTTCAGCTTTGCCAATATTGAGTCTGAGAACTCTTACCTGACTCAGAGGGCTCACTTCTTCACAGAGATAGAGGGGCTGGATGACTACATGGAGGTGAGGGAAGGCATGCAGCTCAAGAACGTGGACTTTAAAGAGCTGATGATGGCTTATGGGGACCCGGATCACCTCCCATGGTACGTGTCCCACTACGCTTTCTGGGTGGCAGCTATCCTGATGATCTCGTGGCCGCTCAGGGTACTCATAGAGTATCGAACTGCTTACGTGCACTACCATGTGGAGAAGCTGCTGGGCCTGGAGTACACGGCACCCGCAGCGGCGGAGGAGCCCTTGTACCGCTACCGCATGCCCCGGGACGCCACGCAGGACAGCACCGAGCTGGAGTGGCACATCTGCACCAACCGCCAGCTGATCCCCAGCTACTCAGAGGCCATGCTCATGGACCTGGCCAACTCCCCAGCCTACAACAGCTACGCGGTGTGCCGGTACGGCGAGGCGTCCCACGCCTGCGAACGCTGTAACCATGCCTCCAGCACCTCCTCCATCTTCTCCCGCCACGCTTTCCACAGCTGCAGTGGCAACTCCCGCCTCTCCCTCAACACCAGCCGCTTCTCCCTCTGCCGTGTCCACGGCTCCCAGGAGCCGCAGCAGCAGCATCGCGGACCGGGGCTGCCAGGATGAGCAGTGCTGCTCCTACTCCAGCCAGCTGGCTGTCAACGAAAACCCCCCCACCTACCATGATGCCCGCTTCTTCCCCGTCCTGATTGTGCACAGGCCAGAGGGGCACGATGGGCGGCATTTCTATGTCAGGCGTTCCTCCTGTCTAGAAACCTCCCTGTGACAGGCCTCCCTGGTTTGCAGCTCCTCTGCCCCAGGACAGGGCTTGCAGATGTGCCACCAGCGGGGAGCCTGCACGTGTCAGGCTGGCAGGACAAGCTCCAGCTCTTCTCCCTGCCATTGCGAGAGGACGTAGTCGCTCTGACCAACCTCCTTTCCAAGAGCTTCTCCCCTCCTTTGGCTGGTCTCCTCCGTCATTTGTTCCCCCTTCCTTTTGCTCTTTCACTCCTCACCCTTTCTCTGCTCCTCGGTTCCCACCCATCCCACCCTCATGTTTTTTTTACATTTCGGTCACAGCATTTGACCGCTGTTGCTGCTGGAGGATTTATAAAGCTTGTGCTTTGCAGTGTATTTGCCCTCTTGGATGCCCTGCAAGGTAAGAAGCTCAGATAGAGCATGGCGAGAGGCACAGAGCCAGCCAGAGTCAAGTCAGAAGGAGAATTCAGATCTGCAGGCGCTGAGTCACCTCCTGCAAACCAGAAACGAGGTGCTTTTTTTATTTATTTTCAACAGTCTTTTTCCTCTTCTTCTGTCATTTATTCTCTCCTTTCTTTTGTTCTCCTCCTCTGGCTTTACCCTCATCTTCCTTCTTTTTTGGTTTTCTCACTTCTGCTTTCCAATTTTCCTGCAGTTTTGCTGGTGAGGATGACTTTCAGGGTGTAATTGCCGTCCATCGGGCAGAAATAAGGTATTCACAGCACAGCACAAATGTCACTGACTGCTGACACAACCACAGGCTATGCCCCTGAAAAGTGCTGAGGACTTTCTTTCCAGAGCAGGGACACAGAGCAATAAAGCAAAAAGCCCTTTGCTCACCTTGCCCTGCCTGGTCTGCAGTGGATACACCACTGCGTTTCCAGCTGGAGTTAACCTTGTCCAGCTCCACCCCTGTTAGCAATCACTGGGAGCTGTCATGTAGATCAGTGCCCTGTTAGCGCCACTATTTTTAGGACTGTGGGTCTGGTTTGTGTTTGTTTCGTTCCTACCGCTTGCTCAGAGCAGCGTGGGCTGGACAAGGGGAGAGGGGCTGGGGAGGGAAAGGTAAATGTGGTGTGAACCCTCCCACAGATAGTCTGGAGTTGTTCGGAAGCTCTTCCACCCACAGTGTCTATTAGAGCCATTGCTCTGCATTACCCTCAGCTTTCCGTGAGCCCTGGGGAGGGGTTCTGGCCTGTAGCCCACTGCCACCTCCCCACCGTCCCAGGCAGGATGTGGTGCCACCCCCGCCTGGGGCAGGGAGCACAGCTGGGAGCCAGCCCCACCAGCTGCTCCCACCACCACTCCAGGCTCTTCCCGCACGCTTGCCCCGGAGCAGGCACAGCACCTTCCAGAAACTATCAGATTAGTCCCAGCAATGCCAGACTCGGGAGGTGTGCGGTCCGGGCAGAGCGGATTGCTGCACTCTGGGCTGCGGGCTGCCCTCCTGGCCCCACCAGAGATCCCCCCGGGAGCCCGGGACCAACCCCAGAAGCTTATGGCCACACCGAGGACTCGCCTGGGGCCTGGCACCTGCCAAACCTCCATCCCACAGGGAATGGCCCTACCCAGAGCAAGCTCTGAACCATTTTGTCGTGTGGATGGCGGAGATGATTATCCACCGTGACTCACGGGAGGATGCAACACGATCGCAATACAGTCACTTCCAGAAACAAAGTGTTGTCACTCCCTACAGCAAGTAGGTAAGAAACCAAGCCCCCAGAGGGGCTGGCAACAAAACGCTTCCTCCCAAGTCCGTTCTGTGTGTATCTACATGTAATATGAGGTTTGTAACGTCATATCGGTATGTGTAGATTATATATATAAACTCTGCAGACTTATATGGTGATTTCTTATGGCATTGACTGTTGCACCATGTTAAATACATTTTGTTTTGGTTTGATGAATCCATTTTGATGTGCTATGTGTATTTCAACTCCAGAAATAGAAACATTGGCAATACCTGGCTAACCTGCTGCAAATGGCGGTACCACGGGAAAGGTTTAAATTCGTATGAGTCAATCTTTTAAATGTAAATACCTTATGAATGATTTATGTGGTATTTTCATTCTGACAGCTTGGCATTTATCGCAGAAGATAGATAACACATATGATGTGTTAGTTTATCACCTCTAAAAAATAACCATCCAAGACACATGGAGAAACCAGGTTTGGGCTTAGGTAATGATTATGGTTGGGCTGGGGCCAAACTAGATAACATTGAAACTTAGAGAAAAATCCAAACTTAGATCCAGCCTACAGTGACCCATCCTAGTCCTCCATCTACACAGTGCCACCTACCACCCCCAGGCAGAGCTGGGAGAGTTCAGGAACTAGGAAAGGATCAGGCCTGAACTCAAAGCTCAGGCTTATCCCTGATTTACTTGTATTCTGAAGATGAAGTAAATCCAAGTCTTTAACATGGATCCCTGTCCTTATCTTCGTTCACACAGAAAGTTAAAACCAGCACATATGGAAGATGTAAGAGCTGGAGGAGGCTGAAACTTCACGAAACAGAGAGGCTGGAATATTTCAACACAGTTTCTTACTGAAGGAGGTGGTAGGGAGGAAGACAAGAAAGGAGAAAGGAAGAGATGGTAGAATAATATAAATTAAAAGAGAGCAGAGTTCAGCCGCAGCTAAGATAATTCCCAAATGAGCAGCATAACTCAGTTATGGCAAGCTGAGCCCAGACACAGGCAGGATGAGTTCCAGTCGTCTTGCGTAGCTGTTGCAGGCACCTGTGGCTTTACACGCCATGCCGAAGGTCTTCGCATGGCCAGTTTGGTCCCCTATGTATTTCGAGATGGAGAGTTATAGTTGGGTCCTCAGAAGTGGCCACGTTAAACAGTATTATTATCCGACATGAACAAGCTCTGGCAATCCATTATTATGATGGGTTGGGCAGAGAATGGAGACTGTTTATGCCCAGTTTAACCTCTCCAGTGTCCTCCAAAGCCAGTGTAATAACCAGCAGCTCCCAAGCTGTGTCCTCAGCAGGGTTTGGAAAGCCCAGAGGGTTTCTGCTTCCTCACTCCTTGTGTCCTGGCCCAACTTGGGGGCATTTACTTGAGAAGCCATCCCTCAGCTGCAAAAGCCCTCAGATGTGGAGCTCCCTTCTGTCACTTGCTGTAGCTTCTAGTGGTGACTGAAAAGCTGGGAGCAGCTCCTGTTCTGGCCTGGGGCTGAATAAGCTGGTTCCAACAGATCGCCCTCTTGGGAAGCACCCAGACAGCCATCCTGGGTCTCCTACAGCGTGGAGCAGAGCCACTCCTGCGACCCTTGAATGCCACTTCCTCATTGCTCTTCCCATTGCCACAGCTTCCCGACGCAGGATGAGGGATCTGTCCCCTAGCACAGGAGAGGATAACGCTGCTCTTCAGATCCCACGTCAGAGGATGGAGCAGACAGGTTCTCGAATCCAAGTGCAGACCAGGCAGCTCTACGGCAAATGCCTTGTACGAAACACAGGGATTGTGCATCCAATTGCAGGCTGACTGCTTCACCAATGGAGTAGTGGCGTGCGGCTGCAGCTTTTGCTGAACTTTTAGGGCTATGGCTTCTCATGTGGAAATGAGTGTTTTGGGGTGCTTTCTCACTGGGATATCCCATCCTTGTCCTGTTTGGTCTCAATAATTAGAAGAGGCTGAAGAGCAGAGGAAGGTGAGGAAGTCCAGCAAATACTTTTCTCCCTTCTGCCTTCTCTCTCCCCTCCCTGCCTCCCTTCCTCCCTCTCTTCCTTTCTTCCTTTTTCCTTCTCCCTTGTCTTCAGAAGTCTCCCAGCACTGGGAATTCACCTCTTGATTATTGTGCAGCTCTTCAGGCATTTTCTAGAACATGCCTATGCTGCCCAGCAAGTATGCTGAGATGGGACAACTCAGTATCGCAACAGAAGAATCAAGGAAAGGATGTAAGCCAGCAAGGCACCGCCTCATTTACAAGTCACTGTGCTGTGTCCTGCGTGTGCAAGCAGTGAGTGCTGCCACTGGTGTACGGGCTGTAGAGCAAAGCTTCATTGCTTAATTCAGTGGCATGAGAGGCCAGGACAGTTTATTTGTCTTCAGTTCCTAAAAGCATTTCAGAATCACCAGTTCCTTCGATTCCTGCACGGTAACACTGCACTCCTCCGAAAGATTTCCCACAGCAGTTTGAACTCCAACTGGCAACGCGTGCAGGATTTCAGTCCAATTTTCATATGGCTCTTCCTTCCTGTCACTGCTGACACAAAGCCCTTCTCAGAAGAGCTGAAGCCAGATCCCCTGCCGGGGAAAATTCCCTTTGGTCTGCTGCTTCCAGCACAGCTCTGCTCCTTACACCAGCCCAGAGTCTGGCCTGTGCTGTGCTACGACTTCCTCTCCTCTCGCTATTCCCATCCTTTCCCTTTCTCCTTCCCTTTCCCGAAGCCTTTGGGAGCATCGCGTGACATTTGGACAAAGCACAACATGCACATCGAGGTAGAGGCATGCTCTGGGCACACAGAGAGGAGTCAAGCCTCTTCTCTGGGCCACTGCCTCCCAGGATGGGCTTGGCCAAATTCCAATGCTTGCCCGTGCCTCCTCACTCCTGCATGTACACCGGAGCGTCTCCTGAGCCCACAGGGACAGGACGGTGTTGTAAGCCTCTGTAATTGTGTGGCTGGAAGAAAGCTTTGGAAGGAAAATGCTGTAGAAACACAGTGTTATTCCAGTGGCCGTTGTTTTTTCTCATGAGACAACTAAAACCAGCGGAAGTAGCTACTTTCTGGAAGGTGCTGTCGCCATGAGTAAGTGCAGAAACATGCCACACGCTGGGATGGATGGGTATATACGGATACACGGGGGAGAGAGAGCAGCAACAGCAAGTGTGCCTGAAGCTTTCAGCAAACGCCGGCGGGAAGCTCTCAGCCAAAGAGCCGTCGTGATCCGGGCAAGAGGCATGTCACGATTTCCTGTCTCTGAGAGCACCCAGGCTTCCTGCAACCTTTTGGGTGGATGGCTTGTCAGTGTCTCCTCCTGGCCACCTCATTGCAGCGAGAGGCACTGGGGGGGA